TATTTACTTTTGAGAGACAGAGACAGCGTGAGCAGGGGAGGGGCAGAGAGAGAGGGAAACACAGAATCTGAGGCAGGCTCCAGGCCCTGAGCTGTCAGCACAGATCCCGACGCGGGGCTCGAACCCACGAACCGCGAGATCATGGCCTGAGCCGAAGTCGGATGCTTAACCGACTGAGCCACCCAGGCACCCCCAGAAAGGCAACTTTATTTATTTATTTTTTTTTTCAACGTTTTTTATTTATTTTTGGGACAGAGAGAGACAGAGCATGAACGGGGGAGGGGCAGAGAGAGAGGGAGACACAGAATCGGAAACAGGCTCCAGGCTCCGAGCCATCAGCCCAGAGCCTGATGCGGGGCTCGAACTCACGGACCGCGAGATCGTGACCTGGCTGAAGTCGGACGCTTAACCGACTGCGCCACCCAGGCGCCCCCAGAAAGGCAACTTTAAATGTCCTTACACGGAACGCTGCCCATGGCTCACAGATCTGCTTAAAAAGTATTTTCAGCTGTCATTTCTCAAATTGTGAGCTCTAATGCTCCTGGGGTTGGCGGTGGAAGAGATGACCCTTCATATGGGGAAAGGGATAGAAATTTTCCACATTGGGCTTCGCCTCTTGAAAGGCACATGCATTCTGGGCGGACGGGGCATCTCCTGCTCCAGTGTCAGCCCTGTGGGACCCCGTGGGACACACCCCTCTGCTAAGCCCTCCGTACCAGAGGCAGACACCCCGGCCCACGCCCCTAGGGGACGGTGAGGGATTTGTGTTCTGGCGCAGATACCACACGGCCGCCCAAGAAGAGTGAGGAAGATGGGAAGGAATACCACTTCATCTCCACCGAAGAGATGACGAGAGACATCTCTGCCAACGAGTTCCTGGAGTTTGGCAGCTACCAGGGCAACATGTTTGGCACCAAATTTGAAACCGTGCACCAGATTCATAAGCAGGACAAGATTGCCATCCTGGACATCGAGCCCCAGGTGGGTAGGCACGCCACGGCAGGAACGGATGGGGTTGTGTTCATCTAGAGCCGGGGCAGCGGTACCAGGAACGACGGGCTTGGTGCTGCCCGTCGTGACGGCTGACTCCGGTCCTCTCTTCTTCCTTCCTCGTTTTCCAGACCCTGAAGATTGTCCGCACGGCAGAGCTGTCACCGTTCATTGTGTTCATCGCACCCACCGACCAGGGCGCCCAGGTGGGAAGGACGGGGTTATGCAGGGGGGATGGAGGTTCGCTGTCTGGGTCTGCCCAGACTGGGACATCGGTCCAGAGCACAGCTCGTCACAAATCCCCCACGAGCTTCCTGGCTACTGCCATCCTTTCCGCAAGGCCAAGAAGCCAAAGGGCGTGGGCACGTTAGATTTACCGGGCCAGCGGCTAGGCCGGCAGCCGGGCCAGGTCAGGGGGCAAGAGGAATCAGACCCAGTCATTGTTCCCGAAGTGCTTAGGGTGTAGGGGCAGAGACGGACAGTCTGGCAGACCCCCACACCGGCGCGACAGGAGCTCAAGTGGGACAAAGCAGGGGTACCAGAGGCGGCCCTGAACCCACCCTGGGGTGTGTGCGGCTGTGGGGAGAGAGGAGGGGCTCCTACCCGCTCTGCATCATCCTCCATACGCTTCACTGTCCCCGGCCTGCTCGCCAGGCACGATGGAGATCTCACCGTGTCGCTGCGTAGATAGCTTCTCCCGCCTTTCTTAGTACGCGTGCGGTCTCCCATTGAGCGTATGTGACATAACTGTTCAGTCTCGCCATTTCCTTCTCGAAGGCCACTTGGGTTGTTTTCAAAAGGACCGTTACAAATTATACCGCGGCGACCGGCCCACACGTGTGGCATTCCACACGTGCGCAAATGTAGGCGTAGGAGAAGTTCCCGGCAGGGCTGCCCGGTCCGAGGATGCGTGCAGTGGGAATTGAGAATTTGGAGACAAACTACCCGCGAGAGTGCTTGCTTCCGTGTGCCAGGCGCGTATTATCCAAAGTTCATTTCCGGCCCATCTAATGGAAAACCGCAGTCTCGTTGTACTTCCACCTTTGGCTGCCAATGGTTGAGTAGCTCGCCAGACTACTGAGGGCTATTTGTGTCAACCCCTCTGTGAACCGCCTGCTCGTGTCCGCGGCTCATTTTTCCGAGCTTATAGATCGTTGTGGATATTTTTTCCCAGTTTGGCATGTATTTTGGTGTTTATTGCTACGCATTTTTACTTGTATGGAGCGCTCAGTCTTTTCGTGGACACAGGTTTGGGATGCTAGACAGAGGCCCGGATTGCAGCTGTGGTGGTTCTGGGAAGGGCTGTGTTCAAAGGCGTGGACTGAGGGTGCTGCTCAAGTCCATGCCGTCTCGATGGAGCTACTGGTCTTCAGAGCTGTGATTCTCCAGTCACGGTTGCTTTGAGATCCCCTGAGACTTGCGTTCTTAATTGATCGCCTCTGTACATCCTGTTAACATTCCCAAGGAAGGCCTTCAGGGTTTGAGTGTTTAAGCAGGTGGTTCTGAGCCAGGCAGGGTCACGACAGTCAACGCGCGCCGACACGCCATCGCTGGCCTCTGGGACCGCTTCATCCGTGGTTCTCTCTCCTTTGCAGACAGAGGCCCTGCAGCAGCTGCAGAAGGACTCCGAGGCCATCCGCAGCCAGTACGCGCACTACTTTGACCTCTCGCTGGTCAACAATGGCGTCGATGAGACCCTGAAGAAATTGCAAGAAGCCTTCGAGCGGGCGTGCAGTTCTCCACAGTGGGTGCCCGTCTCCTGGGTTTACTAAGCTTGCAGAACGGGGGAGCTTCCGTCCGCCCTTCTCTAGCGGTGTGAACTCCATTCTCCTTGCTTTCAGACAAACAGGGACGCTCCCCTAGTTTTGTCAGCTTCCCGCACTCTGCTCCTATCCTACTTCCGCCAGTGGGCGTCAGACCGGTGCCGGCTCCTGGCTGGGCTCTGACTCTCCTGCTAGATGGAGCCCCAGTGATCAGGGCTTCAGAAGGCTCTCTGGAAACCTGAGGCCGAAAATACTGTCAAAACGCAACTGCTAATCAAAGATGGTGCACACAGAGAGGAAAAGCGACGGACCTTGTCCCTTAAAGCCTGTGCGCCTTCACCTCGAATCACCCCGGGCACTTCATTGGTCTTGGAAGCATCTGTAACCTCAGCCTCAACTTTCTAAAATGCCAAAATGAAACAGCTGTGCAATAGGAGGATGTCTGCTCTAGGGAAACCCTCAAAAGCAATAAAAATGTGTTAAAACGCCGATGTCTTGTGTCTCCTTGCGGTTCCGCCTACACGGGTCTCTGGAGAGGGAAACCGCACCACCTGCTTTCAGCTTCCCAGGGCAGCATCAGTCCCAGTTACCTCTCCTGGGTCCTTAAGTCTCCCCTCCAGCATGGAACAATCTGGAACCTAGAGGTCAAAATAACTTCCCGGGAGCGGTGTGTGTGTGCACTGGGCAGGGCATGACCCGGTGCTTACACGTGGACCCGGACACACGCACGCGCGCATACACGCGTGCACGCATCTAAAGAAAGTTTGGCAACAAAGGTGTGATCACCCCATTTGTATTCCACAGGGGGAGTGCGCACATTCACGTTTATTTAAGGTACTGTGAAGATTCCCGAGGGAACGTTGCCCGTTCTACCAGCCGCTCCTTTCAGCTGCTTCGCTCTCCAGACCTGGTTTTCAGAACACCCACGACTACTTGCCCAAATTAAACTACCGTGTCCAGAAGGAAAACTCCACTCCCTTGTTCTCACAGCAGCTGCTGGGGTCACAAACACGTGCGTTCACGTAGAAATGCACACGAGACGCTCCCATCCTGCACGAGAACCCACTAAGCGGGGGCACAGTGAGCTTCCCACCACGACTTGCTGGAGGCTTGCATTCTGACCTCACTCACAGAGGGAAACCCAGCCCCGGGCCACGCTCAGGATCCCCCCCCCCCTCCCAGACCCACTCCGTAGATACTAACACCTTTCTCCTCTCTGTCATTTGCGGGATCACTAAATTTGTGATGATGTCCCTCTTTTTATCTAGTCAATGTCCCGAATGGAGACTCCAGAGCATTTGGTCCCATGCCAGATAATAGGCCCCGAGATGAACGTTGCAAGGCAAGAAAAGTAACCAGGGGATCAGCAAATGTCAAACAGGACATGGTTCCCTGGATTTTTAATCAAAATATTTTCTATTTTTTCTTCTACGAATCTGAGATCCCCAACAATCAGAAAACCCAACAAGAATACTTTTAAAAACAAGTAAAGTTTAATAAGTAAAAATTCCAACCTTCTCCCAACAGTGAGTGATTGCATCCTTTGAAAGTAAAGGAGGGTTAAGAGTACAGAGCAGTTTCTAGCTTCTGTCACAAAACACGTGGGCAGATGGATCCAGGCGCACGAGGCTGTACACACAGGCTCTGAACAAGTACACAGAAGACCACTAAGCCCGAGATGGACTGGAAAACAGCTGATAAGTTTGGCCTGCCTCTGGCAGGGGAAATGGGGGTGACACAGGTGGCCGTGACGCCAAAGTAGACCACTGTCCTCATAGGACGCGGGAGGAAAAATTGATCTCTGCAGTGAGCAGCGTGGCTCGGTTCTACGGTTTTACTTGCTCTACACCATTTCATTGAGCAACGTGCGGACGCTTTCAATGAGCCAGGGCGGGGGACGGGGTGCAAACCAGGAGAGAGCGAGGGTGTCAACACAGCCACCGGGCAACGGCTGAGACGGTGCCCGGGCTGCGCTGGGTCTGAAGGAGAGGGTTCCGACTCTCCCCAGCAGAGAAGCGGGTGGCATCAAATCCGCCTCCTTCACCCGTATCCTTAAAACAGGACAGGATGGGATGGGCGCACCAGGTGACCTCACAGAGCTCTCAGGTAGCAGGAAAACGTGCCGGGGCTCTCCACCCTTTCTGGGACCTGGGTTCCATTCCCTCAAGAACCAAAGGAATTAGGTTTTCTCAGTAAGGCTTTTTAATTTCTCCTCCCAACTGGACATCGGGCTTAAAGTGGTCTCCACTACTCAGAAACCACTTCCACTTTGATTTTCTTCTTCTTCTTCTTCTTCTTGCTGGCGTCACTGTCCTGGAAGAAAGAGAGAGCCTCACAGCATCTGTTAACAGAACCAAATTAGGGAAGTCCCGAAAGCCCCGGAAGCCTTTTCGGGATCGGCGAGGCTATTCCACGGTCATTTTGCGCGTAACCTTCAGCGCCGCCCCAGTGCCGGACTTCCACAGACCACCCGGCCAGCAGCACACTTCTAAGTAAACGCTGGGGTCGGTTTCGGTGCCCCCCCCCCCAGGACTGCTGGAGGGCACACGCAACATGGGACTGCCGCCCCCTCCCCTTTCGTGTCTGCCGTATTTCTACACACCCCATCTCCCGGATCGTCCGCACTGTCTACACCAGCTTTGGCCTTCTTATCCTTCTTCTTCTTCTTTTCTTTCTTGACCAGCTGTGGTGACGTCTCGTCACTTTCACTCTCTCGCTTCCGCTAAGGTGGGGACAATCGTGTTAGGTCTTGGGCAAACACGGATGAGAGAGGTTCAGTAAGAAAAGAGCCTAAATCTTGGGGCGCCTGGGTGGCTCAGTCAGTTGAGCGTCCGACTTCGGCTCAGGTCACCATCTCACAGTTCATGAGTTCGAGCCCCAAGTCAGGCTTTGTGCTGACAGCTCAGAGCCTGGAGCCTGCTTTGGATTTTGTGTCTTCCTCTCTCTCTGCTCCTCCCCTGCTCACACTTTGTCTCTCTCTCAAAAATAAACAAACATTAAGAAAAGAGCCTAAATCCAACAGAGCCCCCATTTACCGAGGACTCCAACACGGTCTCCTCCCTAGAGAGCAGGACCCGTGGGCGCAGCTGAGCCTGAACTGGTGGGCCGCGTGCCCTCAGAGAAGGAGGGTGAGCCAGGGGCGTGAGGCTGACGGCCCCCAGCGGGGCCAGAAGTCCTTCCCGGAACCCTCAGACTGGAGAGCTGCGGCACTGCCGCGTATTTTCGACGCCGAGCTACTGTCGTCTAGAGCGGACTCTGCTCCCACACGAGCTGTGTCCGCGCTTGACCCCATGTGGGGGCCAGAGGGACACGTACGTGCGCTCTGCTCCAGTGTCGCTGCCCGACCTCCGGGCTTGTGGAGCCCGAGGTGTGGCGCACGACCTGCATCGTGTGCTGCGTGCACCCCCAGGGGCGGGAAGCCTGCCGCGCTGAGCTGCAACATACGGGGGGGACCGCAGTCCTCGACACGGGCCGAACAGAACCCTCTCCCAAAGGACACTGCAAACTGATCCCAGCACGTCACTCACCTTTGGAGCTTTCACCGCTTCATCAACTACTTTTGGGGTTTTTACCACTTCAACAACTTCCTGCGGGGCTTTTGCTGCCTTGGCCGCCACCTCTCTCTTGGCAGAGTCACTGAAAAAGAGCGATGGGTCAAACGCACTGAACGGCTTTCAGGCAGTGAAAGTCGCCATCCAAATACTGACAGTGGCCAGAAATCCCCACTCACTGCTGCAGAATGACTCCCTCTAGAGCCCCACGAACCAGACTACAAAGGGGTTAACTGTCTACCACGGAGGCCCCGGCCCCTAACCGGCCTGGGCAGTCAAGGGTAGTACCTCCGGCCCCCAGGCCTCCTGAGCCACCACCCCACGTTTAGCAAGTTTCCCCCAAACTGAATATGCACCCCCCCCGTACCCAGGCACTCCAGGAGCTCCTGTCCTCCCTCCCCATGCTCACCTGCAGTCGAGGCACCCGTCTGGGCCGCCCCCTCACCGCACCTGCCCCCCGGGCTCCACGGCCTCCCACCCTCACCACCTATGCCCTCCTCACCTGCACTCTCTGCCCAGCTGGGGCTCGGAGACGTCCCACCCTCACCTGTAGTCCACGTACTCCTGCGTCCAGGCGACAGGTGTGCTGTCCGTGGGCTTGCCATGCTTATCCAGGAGGCCCTGCTTGATCATCAACTTCTTCTGACTTGCCTGGCAGACCGTCAGAGTTTCAACATCAGAACGGTGTCAACTCGTGAAGTAGGTACTGTGACCGCTCACATCAGGCTCCTCCCTCGCAGTCTCACTTGGGCTCCACACTCCTCCGCACAACACTCAGAACCCATGTTCTCCAACGGGAGCAAACGTGGGACTTGGCGCAAGTCACAAAGCCCACTGTATCACTGACAGCCTCTGAAGCGTTGTTTTGTGGCACCTCCCCCCACCTCATTCTCAACCCCCAGGACTTTGCACCTGCTATTCCAGCTTCCCCACACTCTCCCCTCCCTGACACCTAACACTGCATCCTCTAAGCTGGCCCGGCTCCAGCAAATCTCTTACCCAGGACCCCCAACCAGGCCAAACCCCTCAGTTTGGACTCCCAAAGTGCCAGGCACCCCTCTGCATCCCTTGATAAGCCTTCAACTTGGCGGAAATTCACCATTCATTGCGCAGTATGACTGACGTCCGTCTGCTTCCCCCTTTATACTAGGAAATCTCGAAGGTCTGAGATGGGCCCATTTCTACTCACCATCAACTCACCAGAGCCCAGCACAAGGCAAGATTGTGGTAGTAGGGACACACTCGACAGCCATCCAGGTGAATATTCAACAACACAAAAATGAAAACATAACCCGGTGGGACACACACACAGTCCCACTTACCTTTGGACCTAAACCCCACTTCCGAGGATAAGTATCTCTCTCCATGATCACTCTCTTGATCTTGGCTACTATACCATGGTCACAGGTAGAGATCACTGCTGTGGTCATTAATGCAATAGCTGGAGGTGTGGGAAAGAGATGAAAGAGGGATCTGGAGCGGAAAACGTGATTGGCGATGAGCCCTAATTCCACTGTTTTATAAATCCATTGGAAACTCAAAGCTCTACTGCCTTAATGGAGGCTTCCTTTGCCGAGGATGTTCATATGGAGACAATCTGCCATTATGGGAAGAAAGCCTCTGAAAGCATGTTATGAGTTTAAAAAACATTCACACTAATCACGTAAAACTCAATGCTTCCTAGATCCTCAGGAGTCCAAACATCCGAGGTATTCACTGACCGCGCCTCACTCGTGCCTGGAGGAAAGCAGGTCATCAGACTCCCTTCTCAGTTGTAAGCAGGGCTCTGCGGGGAGCAGCCAAGAGGGGAAGGGAACACCTCGACAAGGCACCCTAAAGATACACTCCTCAGGCTCCAGGCTCAGGCCACACACAGGGAACGGCTTGCACACACCCTTCACGGAATGGAACACTCGAAGTTCTAAGCGACAACACCAACTAAACACTCACAAGTTAACTGCTACAGACAGACAACGAATGGACTATACTCTCCATATGAATTACCAAAGACATGCATTCTCTTCCTGGACGATTTCCTCCATCCTCACTGGAACCAAGCTGCTGAGATGTGGCTGCTAATACCAGCCAGCTGGACAAAATCTGGGCCCATCTACCACGATCCCCTGCTAGGACTACCTCTACAGGCCCCAGACAACACAGTGATTACGTGAACCTGAGGAGTTGGACTTGGGGTCCGCTCTTAGCAAGCCTGGCTGTGATGGTGCAGCAGGAACTAGTGCAAGTTCTCCTCTTACCCATGCAGATCGCTTCCCCTTTGGTGGTGATGACCACGATCTCCTGGTTGACTTCGATGCCATCCTCGTATCGGAGAACTCCCGGAAGCATGATCTTTGCCCCATAGCAGATTGCATTCACCTGCAGGGATGGCATCGCACGTCAGAGCACCAGCTGCTCCACTAGCCAGTGCCCTCCATCCGAACCCACACCAGAAAAGAACACGCGGGGTGGACCTGCGAGTGTACCCCCACCTACAAAATGGGGCTAATGGCACCGACAGCCACTGGCTGCGATCCGGTGTATGAAGCAACCACTCACCACAGGCTAGCCACCTTATCCCCACTGACTCAGACGTTAAAGGGGACTGAAATACCTACTCATCCATCCACAGGACTTCAAAGGTATCTTTATCTTAAACCAAAACCCAGCCTTCATTTTCCTTACTCTTCTCGATTTGTTATCCTTGAGGAAAACCCTGACAGAAATGGGAAACCTTTTTGCTTTATTGGGAGATCTGGCCTATTAACAGGCCCCCAAAGTAACCAGCAAGCAAGATTGCCAAGGCCTGTGACCCGACCCCATGCAGGTTAAAAAGGCCACCTCTCCTGGACATCAATGGCTTATGCCATCTTGCCTTCACTTACCTACATACCTTGCCGACCGCATTCTTCCTCCCCCTAAATTCACCCAGACGGCACCAATCTGATCCCAGCATAATGAGAATTTATCACATTTCTGTTCTAGTTCACGTGATTAACTTTTTCCAACTATGATAGCCTGGCTTAGTATACCTCTATAATTTTTGTCTCCTACAAACCATAACATACAAAAAATTCATCAGACGGATTCCTGGGTGGCTCAGTTGGTTAAGCATCTGACTTTTGATTTCGGCCCAAGTCATGATCTCACGGTTTGTGAGTTTGAGCCCCATGTTGGGCTCTGTGCTGATAGCATGGAGCCTGCTTGGGATTCTCTTTCTGCCCCTCCCCTGCTTTCTCTCTTGCTTGCTCTCAAAAATCAATAAACATTTTTTAAATGCATCAAATACCCTTAACTTTGCTATCCTTTGTCCCTGACATAACTAATTATATCATTAAGAGAAGTGCTCTCAGGGTGCCTGGCCGGCTCAGTTGGTGGAGCGTGTGACTCTTGATCTTGGGGATGTGAGGTTCGAGCCCCACCTTGGGTGTAGGAATTACTTAAAGGAAAACAGTAACCTCATATCATGTTTCATCTCTTCCCACAGAGCACAGACCAGACCTCCTGCCTGGGGTCGTTTTATCACACTGCGGACGTGCAGCCCAGGACTTACCGCGCTGTCTTTCATCACCAGCCGTTTGTGAGATGTCAAGAGCTTTTCTAAAGGGTAAACAACCCGCCGCAGGTAACTCTCATCCTTGTGGTTGTCATACAGCCACTGGGCATCAAGCACATCGTGCATCGTCACCATATGGTCCTGAAAAGCAGCCACACGCAAAAATTGTTCAGTGTCACTGTATCTTAAATGGTCCAACAGACCCCAAACTTCCAAAATGTGAATGAATTTAGTCCAAACTCAGTCTTTAGTCTCTTCCCAATCATCTATCTTCCGCATATCTGTAAGCTGGTGACATACTTAAATCTAGGCAGTTTTGTAGGCTGTGGGATCAAAATGAATAGAGTAATGCTTTCTATCCAATCATCTCCCACAGCCCAGGTTTCAATGTTCCAAAGTTTAATTAACAGAACAGGGAAGCCGCCCTGAACTGAACTCAACACTTTGGAAATTGCCTTTTCCAGGATGTGAAGCAGGTGGCATTGCAGCAGGGGTGGGAGGATGTTAAGGAGCAGCTCCAAAACTTCTAGCCCATAATGCTGTACCTTTTCACTCATGACTCCAGAACGCACCCGCCGAAGTTCCTGCATCTGACCGCCAACTCCCAACAACAAACCCAGGTGCACACACAGTGTCCGAATATACGTGCCGGCCTCACAACTCACCCAGAAGATTCCTAAGATGCACACACATAAAAGTAGCACATTTTCCAAAGTAAACACATTGCTAACTGAAAAACCCAGAGTTACTCTGTATCTGAGCCAACAAGACTAAAAACAATAGAAACAGGCCCTGACCACACCATATACTAAGGGCATCTATTCTTAATGAGAGAATCTAATTCTCAACAATGCATTCCTGGGGTGCCTGCGTGGCTCAGTTGGTTGAGTGTCCACTCTTGATTTCGGCTCAGGTCTCGATCCCAGGGTCGTGGGATCAAGCCCCTCGTCAGGCTCCATGCCAAACGTGGAGCCTAAGATTCTCTCTCCCTCTGTCCCTCTACCCGAGTCGCGCTCTCTTAAAAAAAAAAAAAAAACATTCCTGTCCACATATGGTGTCCTGTCCACATATGGATGGCTTCCTCAAAGGCCTAAGGACCCACCTAATCTTCTTTCCGGATCATACTCGATCATCTTGCTCTCGTATATGGTCCGAACTCGGAGCTGCCTCTTTACTGCAGCAATAAGTGGGGGTCGCTGGAATAAGGCACCTGTCAGAGTTTCTAGGGCCTAAGAATAAGCACAAATCAAAATAAAGACTCTTGAATAAGAGCAAGGGTCTACTGTGGCAGGTTGAGGACACAACTGAAACACAAAGTATCTTTCAATCATTTAAGACCTATGATGCCCTTTCCATTTCTGCTTCTTTCTTCAAAGACACAGAAAGGACTCGGTGCCAATCAGAGCCCTTTCCTCAGAAGTGGCATGTCCAGAAGTGACCCTGCCATGTGCAGTTACCTGTCCAGGCCAGCTTGGGCAGCCCACTGGTAAGGGCACAAGACAGGACGGTCAGGAAAACCGACCTGTCTCCAGATGTCTACGGGCTTGGATACCCAAGTCGCCAAAATGTGCCCTCCCTATAATCAGACTTACCCTAGAAAGTTGAGTCCCCCCTTCAATAGCATTGTGTAGCCGGACAATTCCCACATACTCTTTGCCTGAAAAATGACAAAAGAGTAGTCAGGTGTGGCCACTGAGTTTTCTGTAGTTTTAAAAATATGCTCATATTCACATTTTGTATAACAGGAAAAGCAGGCCATTTGACTCTGTAAAATTTGCATCAAGACAAATTTCATGGTTTGGACTTGGGAAAGGACTGAACATGCTCTCTCTCATTGGGAATTCAACTTTCAGTACGCTGACAGGGACCGCTGGAGCATCCAGCGTACAGCCTGCTTAGCAAAAAACCTTTTTCGGGCACCTGGGCAGCCGAGTCGGTTAAGTGTCCGACTCTTGATTTTGGCTTAGGTTATGATCTCACAGTTCGTGAGATCAAGCCCCGTGTCAGGCTCTGTGCTGAAAGTGCAGAGCCTGCTTGGGATTCTCTCTCTCTACCCCTCCCCGGCTCACACAGGCTTGCTCTCTCTCCCTCTCAAAATAAATAAGCATTTAAAAAAAAAAAAGAAGAAAAAACCTTGGAAGGTCAAGTATGAGAGATTCTCCTGATGAAAATTTCCAAGGGCCAAAAATAGAAGGAAAGGAAATGTAGAAAGCCTTCCAGTATCAAAGTGGCTGCCTCTTTATTCCCTCTTGCACATACCTGCACTCTGTTGGGATTTCACCAAGCGAGTGGCTCGTTCTATGCACACGATTAAACAGCCAGTCACCTTGGGATCCAGAGTACCACTGTGTCCTGTCTTCTCCACCCGAAGTATTCGTCGGATCCACGCTACCACCTCATGGGAAGAGGGGTTGGAGGGCTTATCAAGATTAATGAAACCTGTCCTAGAATGGAAAAGAAATCACTGCACCATCATCGCTGGCCCTTTAATAAAAACTAAATCTGAAGAGGAAAAAAGTTCACGATCAGTACGGGTTATGTGTTTAAGGCAATTCTAAGCCATTCTAAAATGCCACTATCTCCTTGAATAACTGATGTGAAAAGGTCTTTTTAAAAATAAACTCTATGTGCCATGTGGGGTTCGAACACATGACCTGAAGACCAAGAGTTGGATGCTCTATCAACTAAGCCAGCCAGGCGCCCCTGAAAAGGTCCTTTTGAAAAGAAGTCTGAACAGTGCTTGCTCCCAACACACTTACCTGATATAGTCCCCAATCTCTCTCTTCAGAGGATTTGATCCACAAGGAAGAGGTGTATAGTGTGTTGTCCTTACATTTAGCTTATCGAAATTCTGGAAAGCAAGGATACAACACAAAATAAACTTAATAAACCATTAACGTGTGTACAAGAGTCAGCACCACTATCGACCATGATATGGTTAACTTGCAAGTTCAGAAACCTGGATTCTACCCCTCGGTTTTCATTATGTGTGACACGGCGTTAAGCCCCCTTACACACTGGAGAAATTACCCACAGCAGGAGGATTTAGACAAAGTTAATCACTCCTCTAGAAATACTTTTTGTTACCAGGACTGGCAACCACGTTTCTCAAACACAACCAGCTCATTCCTGCTCCAGATGTTCCCATCTCTGTTCTCAGGTCTGCTCCTTTTCACTCTCCTCATTTCCAGGGCTCAACTGCAGGTCTCAAAGAGCTCCCCTCAACTGAAGCTCACCTTTCACATATACCCAGTTTAGTTCCATCGTAGTGCTTCTACAAATAGCAATTATTTTTTTTAACCATCTACCTCCCACCCCTAGATTTTAAGTTTCATGATAGTAGGGACTCTGGCCTATCCAGTTCACTAGCATATCCCCAGAACCTATAACAGAAAAGCAGATATAAATGGTAGACCCATCTGGCCGAGCAGAAACTGAACAGTGTTGAATTAACGAGCAAATCTCATTCTTTCACCTAATATATATTGATTTATTAAAACACTTTGCCAAGAGGCATCTGAGTAACTTTCCCTACCCTAGCTTTTTCTCCTAATCTCATACATGGTGCCCACTAAGTTGTTTGTGAAACTTGTAATTCAACTTATCACTGAGCCAGCCTATTTCAAACCCAACACAATGGTCAGCAATTTTCTAGAGAACATGTTACGTGCCAGGCACTACAGCAAAACACATTTCATGGATTACCTCCTGCAGCCCTCAGCTTGCCTTCCCAATAAAAGATGTCATGAGCAAACCACCTCAGAGGTTAAATGACTGGCTCAAAGTCACACACTGACTTTGTGTGGTCACAAAGTCTGACTGAAATTGGTCTGGTTTCAAAGCTCATGTTCTCAAGCACTAAAGCAGTCCTGCTCCAAGCGAGGCTCACAAACTAGTATGAGTCTGTAAAGTGGAGTTAAATACAGAAACCAAGAACTAATTATTTGTAAACTTCGATGGTGGTTTTACGTTGTGACATTTTAACTGTATCATGTAAAGCGTTGGGTGCACTGGAAATGAAAACCAAAACAAAACAAAACCTGGCCTTCATGTCAGACACACTGAAAAACATTGCTTTAGACTGTGTCATCTACCATTGCCAAGGTCAAGGATGCTAGCGCTAATCACTCTTAACGAATCTTTTAACACTTCAATAAGGTAAAAGCCAGGCATTGATCTGATGCATAGTCTTAACCACATACCTTGAGCAACAGGGGCCATTGAGATGTGTCCAACTGAGCCGCCTTGGATTCAGGTTTGATAAGAAATTCCTCAGCGTGTTGTATCTCCTTACATGGGACAGAAACACACCCTATTAGACTTCCCAAGTGATTTGGAAAAGTTCCACTGCTATCACATAAGTTTAAGCCTTTTAAATAGAAAACAAGGTAGTTTCTATTGCTCTTCACTGGGACCTCCAAAGAAAAACCAGGATCTCAGAAATGAACCACGATCTCAGAAAAGTAAGTGAAGTGCCACCAAGATGGGGTCAGGTCCTTATGAGAGAAAGAGGAATAGTGGGTCTGTGGGTGGAATAAAAAAAAAGCATTTCAGGGAGAGCAGCTGGTGTACCAACACCAGTCAGCAAACTCTACTTGACAGGAGACTCAGGTGACTGGGGTTGTGTATTTCCTAAAACAACCACTCAATTCCAACCCATTCCTTAGAAACTTGCAAAAAACAGTTGTTTTATGTAACCTGTTACCTACGTAACATTTCCTTTTTGTCAAAGCAAAGCAAAACATATTTCTACTCACTGCTACATCTTCTTCTGCTAACGACTTCCTCTCCTTTTTCTTCTTATGTTTCTTCGGCACAATATACACTAAAACAAACACACACACACACACGAGATTTGGGAGTTTTTCCCCAAAATAAGGACAACGAAGCTTCAAATAGTGAAATCAGAGCAAGTAAAAATCGGATGTTTGATCTAGAATTGCTGGGTAAAGCCTAGTGTGTAAAAGACAAATGCGTGGGCTGCACGGCCCGATAACCGACCGCAGGCAGTCGCACATGCCGGCTTCCATTCCGGCTCACCACGTGGCCGCGGAGGGGCTTAGATCTGCCGCAGGAGCGCTCGGGCCAAGGGCCTCCAAGTTCCCTGAGTGACCACGCAACCGCCCCCTCCCCGGCCCCCGGCCTGTACAACTTTCTCTGCACTTGGAGCTGCGCGTACGTCCGAGCCCCTCGGCCCCTCTCCTTGCGGGGCCTCTTCCCAGCGCCCTTCCGCGTGGCGCCGACCGACCCGGGTGTGTGGGCTGCCGGCGGCGCAGGTGCGGCCAGGTCTCCCGTCACCGCGGGGTCGCCGGAGAGGCCGACGCCTTTCGGCGACGACCCGGGCCCTCAGGCGGCTGTGCCATCGAAGGGAGGCCCGGGCCTCGCAGAGCCACGTCACTGCCAGCACCTCTCCATCTCCTGCCGTCACCCTTAGAGCCAAGGCCAAGAGGAAGGCCAACAGGAGGCCCGGCCCGGCGGCGACGGGGCCGGCCCGGCGGCAAACCGGCGGGGATCTCGGCCCCCGACGCCGCCACCCTCCCACCCCGGCTCTCCGCACGGCGGAGCCAGTACTCGGCCCGGCCACCCACGAGGAAACGACCCTTTACCTTCCGTGTCCGCCATGTTGCCCCGCACAGCGTGCGAGCAGCGTGGGACACCGCCGAGGAAGCAAGCACAGACTCCCGCCGCCCTCAGGCCGCGCCACTAAGCCCCGCCCACCTCTGTGACGCCCAGTGCGCGCCGCGCAGCGGAGCGGTGGGGGCGGGGCCGGGCTCTGGGAGCACAGCCCGGGGCGCGCGCGGGCCACCTGCACAATTTCATTGGTTGGGTTGCCCTCCCGCCCCCGCTGCGGTAGCGCGCCCGCGCGTGCGCCTTGAGCCTCGCCCGGCCCTGGGCTGCCCCGGTTGGAGGCGCATGCGCAGTCCGCCCCGGTGGTCCGTAACTTGTGGGCGCGGTCCCGGGCCCGGGTCGCCGACTTTCGTTGGGTTTAACACGGGCCTAGGCACTCGGGCGTCCCGCGAGCACTCTGTTAAACAACAGCTAATTGCTTCCTTTCGCCGACCCTTTAAGGTTGGGTATCGGATCAGTCCCGATTAAAAAGCGAAGACGTTGAGGCACAGAGACGTTGAAAGCTCTTTGCTGCTTGCAATTCCCATCCAGCTAGAGCGCCGCTGGCCAATAGGAACACTGTGCGAGCTGCTTGTGGACTTTTAAATTTTCCAACAGCCACATGGCAAGAAAAAAAAAGGAAAAGGAAAAAGGTGAAATTGATTTTAATAACAAAATTTGTTTAACCCAATGATCCAAAATATTTTCATTTCAACATATAAGCGATACACAACATTATGAATGGAATATATTACATTTTTTGGTACTGTCTTTCCAGTGTGTGTTTTACACTTACAGCACACCCCGATTGGAAGTGCATGAGGGGGCTCCATGTCAAGGGCTCTGTAGTCACAGATCCCTTAATGGCAGCAGTATCTGGCAGCCAGGAAGTAGCAAATCCTGGTGCAAGCTCTCTTCCCGTCTGTCTTTGGTGTTCATCTCACTCTTCTGTCTGTCAAGCACGGGTTCTTTTTTAAAGACTTTTTAAAAGGTTTACTTGGGGTGCCTGGGTGGCTCACTCGGTTGAGTGTCCGACTTCGGCTCAGGTCATGATTTCACAGCTCGTGAGTTCGAGCCCCGCTCGGGCTCTGTGCTCACAGCTCAGAGCCTGGAGCCTGCTTCGGATTCTGGGTCTCCCTCTCTCTCTGCCCCTAACCCACTCTCATTCTGTCTCTGTCTCTCTCAAAAATAAAAATAAACATTAAAAAAAGTTTTTTTAAGTAAAAAAAATAAAAGGTTTACTTATTTTCAGAGAGAGAGAGAGAGAGAGAACGGGGAATGGGCAGAGACAGAGGTAAAGAGAATCAAGCAGGCTCTGCACTAACAGTGCAGAACTCACGAACTGTGAGATCAGAATCTGAGCCGAAATCAAGAGTCTGAGGTTGGACCAACTGAGCCACCCAGGTGTGCTCAAGAGGGGGTTCTTAATCTAATCTCTGTGGATTTGACTGATTTTGACTTATTTATTTACTGCTATTGTAAATGAAATCTTTGACATTACCTTTTCTAACGACTTGCTGCTTTGCTTCCAGTTTTCCTCTGCCATACAAAAATTAGCAACGTTTGGGCATCTGGGAGGCTCAGTTGGTTAAGCGCTGACTTCGGCTCAGGTCATGATCTC